CTGATGATATGGGAACTGTAACTTAGTGGGTACCCAGAAAGCCATGCCAACCATTTTCGACACAATTTAATATTTTGGAGCTGTGTTTAACTCATGGTGGCTAGATGATAATATAGTTTTCTTTTTCTTTCTTTCTTTTTTTCTTTTGAGATGGAGTTTTGCTCTTGTTACCCAGGCTGGAGTACAATGGCGTGATCTTGGCTCACCACAACCTCCGCCTCCTGGGTTCAAGTGATTCTCCTGCCTCAGCCTCCTGAGTAGCTGGGATTATAGGCATGTACCACCATGCCTGGCTAATTTTGTATTTTTAGTGGAGATGAGGTTTCTCTATGTTGGTCAGGCTGGTCTCAAACTCCCAACCTTAGGTGATCCGCCCACCTCAACCTCCCAAAGTGCTGGGATTACATGCGTGAGCCACTGCCTTGGCTAGTTTTCTTAAAATCTTAAGCCCAGTATGACTTTTCCTTTTCAATGTCTCTAGGAAGAGGCTGTAATGACGATTACCCATTTGTTAAAATCAAACGTCAAAGGAAGGGGGTCTGATTAGCCATCTTTTCTCACTTTACGTATTACACTGTCCTACTCACTTTGATGAATGAGAAAGCCCTTCACGTCCTGTGCTAGTCAGGTGAAAACACCACCAGCCATGCAATCATACATTTTAAATGTAAAGATCTAATAAATTTTGGTAATACTGTGTGACATAGAGAATTAAAGGGCAAACCTGTCTTTGGGCCCGTTTTACTTCACTAAGCATGAAGAGGGAGGAATGATTCGTGTTGTTGTTAAAGTACTCAACACCGTGTCTCAGAATGGGCTCCAGGTCTGGGCTCTTTGTTGATACAGGATGCACACAGCCAAGGCAGTGATACTGGTCTGTCATCACAGGGCCATCGGCTTAACAAAGGGCAGACAAAAAGACAGCATTAATGATCACAATCAGCATTCACATACATTGCCCTAAACACAGAAGAGGCCAGGTGTGGTGGCTCACGCCTGTAATCCCAACACTTTGGGAGGTCAAGGTGGGTGGATCACCTGAGGTCAGGGGTTCAAGACCAGCCTGGCCAACATGGTGAAACCCTGTCTATTAAAAATACAAAAATTAGCTGAGTGTGGTGGCCCATGCCTGTAATCCCAGCTACTCAGGAGGCTGAGGCAGGAGAATTGCTTTAACCCAGGAGACAGAGGTTGCAGTCAACTGAGAGCACGCCACTGCACTCTAGCCTGGGTGACAGAGCAAGACTCCATCTCAAAAAAAAAAGAAAAGAAAAAGAAAATATTTGGAAATCATTCATCCCACAGGGGACTAACATCCAGCATATACAAAGAATTCAATCAACTCACCAGTTAAAAAAAACAAGTAATCTCATAAAAAGTGGACAAAGGATCTGAGCAAGAATTTCTTAAAAGAAGACATACAAATGGCCAACAGGTATATGAAAAAATGCCCAATATCACTCAGCATTAGGGAAATGGAAATCAAAACCATTATGAGATATCATCTCACCCCAGCTGGAAAGACTATTATTTTTAAAAGTTTGTATTCAATTACCAAGTAATGTTTGTAACAGGTAGCCCTAACCTACTGGTCAATAGAGGCAAACTCCATAAAAAGGGGAATGTAGCTGCAGAGCGAACGGCACACGCGGAGGGACCCCTGGAGCCTGGGCTTCTGCACCCACCATGCTCTTGCTGCCTGCCATGTAAGAGTCAAACACAGCCAGGAGGATATGGAGAAAAAAGAACTAGCTGGGCGCGGTGGCTCATGCCTGTAATCCCAGCACTTTAGGGAGCCGAGATGAGTGGATCACCTGAGGTTGGGAGTTTGAGACCAGCCTGACCAACATGGAGAAACACCATCTCCACCAAAAGTACTAAATTCACTGGGCGTGGTGGCACATGCCTGTAATCCCAGCTACTTAGGGCTGAGGCAGGAGAATCGCTGGAACCTGGGAGATGGAGGTTGTAGTGAGCCGAGGTAGTGCTGGTGCACTCCAGCCTGGGCAACAAGAGCAAAACTCTTGTCTAAAAAAAAAAAAAAAAAAAAAGAAAGAAAGAAAAAAAAGAAAATCACGAAAAGAAAAGGAAACTCTTATGTACTGCTGGTAAGAATGTAAATTAGTACAACCACTATGGAAAATTGTATGGAGATTCCTCAAAAGCTGAAAACATCAAATACCATATATCCAGTAGCTCAGCTACTGGGCATCTGCCCAGAGGAAAAGAAATCACTCTATCAAAGGGAGACCTGCACTCCCGTGTTTGTTGCACCACTATTCACAAAAGCAAAGATATGAAATCAACCTTAGTGTCCATCAAAGGATGAATGAATAAAGAAAATGTTGGGGGCCGGGCACGGTGGCTCACAGCTATAATTTCAGCACTTTGGGAGGCCGAGGTGGGTGAATCACCAGGAGTTCGAGACCAGTCTGGCTAACATGGTGAAGCCCCGTCTCTACTAAAAATACAAAAATTAGCTGGGCGTGGTGGCAGTCGCCCATAATCCCAGCTATTCAGGAGGCTGAGGCAGGAGAATCACTTGAACCTGGGAGGTTTCAGTGAGCTGAGATCGTGCCACTGTACTCCAGCCTGGGCAACAGTGAGAGACTTCATCTCAAAAAAAATAAATAAATAAAATAAGAAAAAAAAAGATAATGTGGTAAATATGCACAATGAAATACTATTTGTCCATAAACAAAGAATGAAATCATCTCATTTGAAGCCACATGGACAGAACTGGAGGTTGTTAAATGAAACAACCCAAGCATGGAAAGACAAACCTGCACTTTGTTCTCACTCATATGTGTAAGCTAAAACACTTAATCACATGGAAATAGAGAAGAGAATAGAATGACAGATACCAGAGGCTGAGAAGGGTCAGGGGTAGAAGGGGGAAATGAAGAGGTTGGTGAATAGGTACTGAATTATAGTTAGATAGAAGAAATAAGTTCTAATGCTATATAGCAGACAAAGGTGACTATGGTTAGCAACAATATATTGTATATTTCAACGTAGCTAGAAGAGAGGACTTGAAATATTACCAATACATAGAAATGATAAATATTCCAGGTGATACCCCAAATACCCTGACTTGATCATTACATGTCCTATGCATGCAAAAAACACATGTATCTCATAAATATGTAAAATATTATGTATCAGTAGAAGAAAAGAAAAGAAAAAGAAGTTAATACATGTAAGGTGCTTACAATCATGGCTGATACATAAATACTCAGTAAATGTTAGCTATTATTTTTATCCTGATTATTGATAATATGTTATTATGATTAATATGTTAATATGTTATTTATCTATTTATTTATTTATTTATTTATTTTTGAGACAGAGTCTCACTCTGTTGCCCAGGCTGGAATGCAGTGGTGCAATCTCTGCTCACTGCAAACTCCACCTCCCGAGTTCAAGCAATTCTCCTGTCTCAGCCTCCCTAGTAGTTGGGACTACAGGTGCCTGCCACCATGCCCAGCTAATTTTTGTATTTTTAGTAGAGACAGGGTTTCACCATATTGATCAAACCAGTCTCGAACTCCTGACATTGTGATCCACCTGCCTCGGCCTCCCAGAGTGCTGGAATTATAGGCATGAGCAACTGCGCCCAGCCAATATGTTATTTTGATTATACCTTCAGGCATATCATTTCATCTCAGCCTCACAACAGTCCTGTGAAGTAGGAAGTACTGTCACCTCCCTTTTCTAGACAAAGAATAGGAGAGCCAAGCTCTGAAAGATTCCAGCCCAGGTCTGCCCTCAAAGCCTATGTGGGATGCTGGGATGCTGGGATGCTGCCTCACTCTGGGATGCTGCCTACAGCGCAGGGCAGGTCTTGTGTCTTCTGGTCCTTCTGTAGAGCCCTTGCACACACCGGATACGATGTAGCAGGCGAGAAGGGTTGGAATAGTCCTAAGGGGATGATGGGCATGAGCCTGGCCCAAACTCCAGGCTCTGCCATTCCACCCAGTGCTCCCTAACTCTGCAAATGGCTTTGCTACTGCCACCCTCTGGGAGCAAGCAGAGCCTGGTCAAGGTTGTGTTCCTGGCACACAGAAATGGTTAATTTCCCACCAGGGCCGTGCCAGAGGATAAACCAGCTACCTGGAGTAATCTGGCAGGACTGGATAGCCACGGAGAATTTTGTATTCCCCCTCTTCCCCACAGTTGCTGTGCATTTTCCAGTAGCCTAAAAAGAAAAGAAAGAAATCATTTAGTCTAATCTTTCAGATGGGAACATCTACCTAGTACTGTTGCTAAATGTGGCTTTCCTTAAACAAACAAACAAAGAAACAAACAAAAATTGTGAAGATTTTACCCAAAAGAGTTTTGAAACATGAGAATAAATGTTTTTTTTTTTTTTTTTTT